AGAGCCAGATGCCAGCAGTTGACTATCTGGTGAGAAGGCCAGTGAGTTAACCCAATCAGAATGACCCTCGAGGGTCTGGCACAGCTCGCCGGTACAGGGATCCCAGAGCTTGATGGTCTCATCACGAGAGCCAGATGCCAGCAGTTGACTTTCTGGTGAGAAGGCTAGTAAGTTAACTGAATGAGAATGACCCTCAAGAGTCTGGCGCAGCTCGCCGGTACGGGGATTCCAGAGCTTGATAGTCTCATCACGGGAGCTAGATGCCAGCAGTTGACTGTCCGGTGAGAAGGCCAGTGAGTTAACCCAATGAGAATGGCCCTCGAGGGTCTCGCGTAGCTCGCCGGTACAGGGATCCCAGAGCTTGATAGTCATATCATGAGAGCCAGATGCTAGCACTTGACTGTCTGGTGAGAAGGCTAGTGAGTTAACCCAATCAGAATGGCCCTCAAGGGTCTGGCGCAGCTCGCCGGTACAGGAATTCCAGAGCTTGATAGTCTTATCATAAGAGCCAGATACTAGTACTTGACTGTCTGGTGAGAAGGCTAGTGAGTTAACCCAATCAGAATGACTCTTGAGAGTCTGGCACAGCTTGCTAGTATAGGGATTCCAGAGCTTAATAGTCTTATCACGAGAACTAGATGCCAGCAGTTGACTGTCTGGTGAGAAGGCTAGTAAGTTAACCCAATCAGAATGACCCTTAAGGGTCTGGCGTAGCTCGCCAGTATAAGGACTCCAGAGCTTAATAGTCTTATCACGAGAGCTAGACGCCAGCAGTTGACTGTCCGGTGAGAAGGCTAATAAGTTAACCCAATCAGAATGGCCCTCGAGGGTCTGGCGCAGCTCGCCGGTACGGGGATCCCAGAGCTTGACGGTCTTATCACCAGAGCCAGATGCCAGCAGTTGACTGTCCGGTGAGAAGACCAGTGAGTTAACCCAATGGGAATGGCCCTCGAGGGTCTGTAAATTCGCAGTCCACGTTTCCTCAACTTTGGGGAGTTGACCCCATCTTGATAATTCACTTTTAAATGTTCTCCTAATTACCGAATTCTTGGGAGTAAACATCAATCCAGATGAGTAAAGCTGGAGGGGTGCAACATCAGCTATCTGCCGATTTTGAAGAAGAAACCGCCAAGCGTCATATAGGAAACTCGATATTGTAGGAGACTCATCAGCCTATATTTGTCAGTATTAACTAGTGCACTGAATTTGCCCTTATGTACCTGTATGGTTGACCGCAGTCTCTGGATCATTTCAACGACCTCAGACATAATACCTAAAAGGCTTATTACTTCAACCCAGTAGAGAAAGTGCGACTCGAGAAATGAGAGAGCCTGAACTAGCTCATTGGATGGGTTGTGACTCTGTAGCAAGTGATGCATCCAATATCGACACGCATAACGTAATTCTGGCGGCAGGGAACGGCTCAGAGTCTGTTCATCTATATCACTCCGCTGTGTCGTATCATCTTTCAGGTTGCAGATATTCCTCCGTAGTCCATAGTGGTTATCTTGCATGAGCTTGAGACATTTTATAGTGAGTTTAGCATGCACCTCTCTCTCATCCACCCAGAATGGCTTTCCTTCCTGTTTCTTATCAAGAAGAAAATCCCGAAATGAAAGATGTAAGATCCGGACTGGGTCCTCTGAGCTGGTAGGAACATCAAGCACAGAGTGGAACAGTTTGAATTGTGTCTGGACCTTATCTGTATCCAGCTGCAGAAGTTTAGTAAGAGAATTCACTGATAAGGGAGTAGCGAGAAGAATAAGAATGCCGATTATGTTCTTGAATCCCTGTATCAGCTGTTGGAATTCCTCTTCATCCTCATTTATGAGAAGACGATTTAATATGGGCATATATGTACCCTCCATTTTTGTGACATATTTGATTCGGTCCTCCAGGACAACATTTAGGCGCTCTGTAGCACTCCAGCGGTCATCACTGATAAATCGAAAAAGCGTAGTGGCTGAAATAAATAATGGGGTAGCTCTCTTGACCAGTGTATTAATTATCTTATCCCCGGGCCAGTCTGTTGGAAGATCGCGCTCTTCCTGTAACTGTGAGAATTCCGTTTCAAAGTATAATCTGATATCGTGTTCTATCACAGGATTCGGGATCTTATGAAGTTTCAGATGTTGATAATCATCTTTAATTCCTCGGAACCCTAGCCTGATCGGTAGGTCAGGTCTGCTTGTCAGAAGGAATCGGAGTTGTACTGAGTGTGATTCCTGGACACGTGGTAGAAGCCGGAGAATATTTCGGATATCGTCATCTTGGTCGCATTCATCTAGCGCATCAATCACGACCAGTATAATTGATTTTGGGCCGGGGTTGACAGCAATAAGTGGCTGCAGTATGAGCTTCTCAAATTGTTCCCTAAGCACTCTCCCCGAAATATATGGATCATCCTCAATTGACTTTTGGATGTTGGGCACCAGTTGAGGTACAGTGCCTCCTAATTGTCTTGCGAGTGTCGAAAAGAGTAGTTTGGCATCTCCTCGGTCTAGTTCGCCCCTTTTGAAGAAGAAGCTAGCCCCAAGGAGACTCTGTCCCTTCAGACGGCTTGCAACAGTCCGGGCAATAGTGGACTTTCCGGTTCCGGCCATACCATCTAACCAGAATATGCATTTTCCGTCAGAAACCTCGACCCAGCGGTAGATCTCGCGAAGTAGCTCCACCCGAGTTCCTGGGAGGCATTCGGTATGTTGATTTTCATAGTCATTAAACGCTGCGCCTTTCGCGACGTGTAACCAGCCAAGGTCTATCTTTTGATCAAGAAGATTGGTAGATTGCCTTACTTAGAAGTCAGCTCCTCCACGTGTTAAAGCACCGATTATACACCTACGTTTGGTCCACCAGTAATGACAACCCGAATAAGGTTTTATATCTCTCGATCTCACGAATAGCCTTTCTTGCCTCCTCACTTTTCATTGGCCATTTCCATGCTCGAAGGCCCCATTTCCTCATCTGTGTCTGCGTTGCTTCTGGGTCGATTCTGTCCCTTAATCTTGTGAGAGTTGAAGAGCATTTAGCGACATTATCAACTAAATTTTGGGAGGCGGGCTTGGTAGGGCTTTGGTTGTGAAGAAGCTTCTCAAGGAATTCGAGTGTCTGGGAGAGGGCATCAATCTCCTTTTGCAGACAGAGAATATCTTGCCTTGCTTCTTTCACTTCGCTGATGTAACTTCCACATATCTGACTGATGGCTCCAGTGATTTGAATAACCGCAATAACGCTTGCTGCACCAGAGAGCGGTTCCATCTTGAAATGCTCGGGGCAGCTTCTATAAAGGACAGCAAGGCCTGTTATCCTGCAATATCCTTGAAAAGTTGCTGAAGAGAATGTTGGTCACAGAGGTGAGGGGTAGGCGCTAAGAGCAAGACTGAAGAGGAGATGAGCTTTATTATTATTGGTGCATGGAATGTAGGCCATGCGTGTGCGAGTTTAACTCATTCATTGCTGTGCAACAAGCAACATCACAGCAGTAGCAGTGGCTTGTCTATCACACTGGTCCTACGACATTGACTCCTAAAATTTAGCATATTTATCCTTCGTGCTGATAAGTTAAGTCAGGTAAAACTGGTACGATCAAGTGACTAACGCTATCAGGCTTAACGATATACCACAATATGCAAGGGATACAGTTCAGCGAGTATGACTAAAAGCTGAGCGAGTATGAGATCCACACCGCTAACTAGTCATACCTGCTCAGCTGTAAGCTCGAATCAAGGTGATGGTGCAATTGAGTAACATCGTGGGTAGCTTTGGCTTGGGTCTGTTCCGCATCATTTTCTAAAAATATCTAGATTACAAGTTGTCCCAATGTGGTCTAGTGGCTGGATTCCCCGTGGATTCAGGGAAGGAAGAGCTCATCGATCGGTTGAAGAGGATAGATTGATCCGACTCCTCAATCATGACATGCGGCAAGCGTGGCCGTTGAACTCCACCCGCGACGGTCAGACCTCCGGGAAGGAGTTAGGGTCCCGGATATAGAGGCGAGAGGGCTCTTTCATTTCAGAAAACGTCGATTTAGACCGCGGATCTACATATGTCGCCCTTTCGCCAACCGACGAGAAGGAAAAGCAGAATTGCAGCAGCCACAAGAGGGATCCACGTCTACACTTGAGAAGATTGAATGGGACGATTGAATGTGTGGTGGAACACTCCGACGCAGGTGATCCGGCCTCGTCACAGAGGAATGATCAGACCTCGCATCTCAATATCAGTAGTTATCATTATTATCATTATTATTATTTATTCATACTCGCATCTGTCAGCCTATTGCCGAGCGGCGGAGGTCGTCCGTTGACGGCCAGGCTACTGCTGATATGATTGCTAAATACATGAAGCCTTTAGGTCCTATATTTTTTCATCCCAGCTAACGCAGCTCGCTATTTTGCAGACCCTGTCAGTAGGGTATACTAACTGTTATACCTACCTTTACCTGATTTCCTTCGCGGTATCTTACTACATTAGCCCTGGGCTCTTTTATCTCCCTGTCAAGCTTGCCTATTACCTAGTACAGGCCTAAGATATTCTCTTTATTAATATCCTGCACTATTAATTCTAAGAGGCCTGTGACTCTGCTAGTCCCCATATAAATATATTCTCTGATTACTTTGTAAGTCTTCTTCTTTACTCTTCTTCTAGAGTATCTCCTATATTCTTTACTAGGTAGCCTGTACTACGGGCCTGCATGATAATAGTATTATCTAGGCCCCTGAATTAGCCGAGATGCCATGTCTATAGTATATACTAACATGCCTGCCGTGTCAGGGCCGGGGTCCGAAGGACTATATAGTAGTTAGACCTCAAAATGGGGCGGATCCGGATCCAACTTTTGGATCCTGAGCCTATAATCATGACTACCAAAGACAAGCATGGCATATAATTATATTTAGAAGGCATTCAAGTCAAGCAGATCAATGAGCAACCTGCTGCAGATCCACTCGCCCCTAGGTCAAACTAGTACCATAGAACAGAAGACAACAGCTTGGAGATTAAGAGAGGTAAAAAGAGGGAGATAGATGAACACAAAGCTCCCAGAAAGATTCTGGTAGGCCAATCAAAAAACCCCAACTTCCTGATATAATAAGGGGCTCAGCAGCCCAGCCGCTTGCCATACATCATGAATCTCCTTGGGACTCAAAGGAAATCGGCTTTACTTGTGACCTCGCTGGGTCTGTCTCTATTGTTAATGACCGTGAAAATCCTTCTTGAGTATTAGCCGTACGCGTATACTCTGAAAGTAGCGCAAAGAAGGTATTAAGGGTATTGCAGTAAGCCTGACACCTAAATATTATGTCTGCCTAAGAAATATACAAAGATAGTGGGATACTGTATGTTGCTGATATTAACTCGCCTCTTACTCTGGAGCACCTTGTTGCCTGTTTCATGTTTTCACATGAGCCTTGACTGGCTTCTATACTTGGACAGGTTTATTTACCCCGCTTCAAGCCTGGCTTTTAACTAGTGATATAGCTAACTGCACGCAGGTTGTCAACGGCTTGTCACACTTATTAGTAACTAGGTGGGAGTATCAAGCCCTGGAGTGTTCTAACATCCTCCTAGGATTTGATAGACTAATTTGACTATGTAGAAGAATACTATAAATACAGAAACAAGAAAAAAGCTGTATTAGAGCACTGTGTGGAGTGTCGACCAGGTCAGTCATAATTTTAGTCTCAGTGCTCTCATCACTGTGACCACGCTTCTCATGCAGAAGTATATCAAGCCTGACAGGGCGATTAGTATTAATGATATGAACTATTGGCCGATTAGATCGGACCCAGTGGAGTTCCCCTCTGCCACTACGTCAGTTGTCACTGTTAATAACTTGAAAGTGGTGCGTAGTTGTCTTTTTACTAATTGTACTACGCTCCTATCCTGACATTGTGTAGCAATAAAAAGAGACTGGTCTGCTAGTGAATTAGCTTTACCCGCCTGTCTCTGCTTGGTCTTGATGTATAATTTCATAATAAACATAGAAAAGTAATTAGAACGCCAGAGTATTAAAGATTGACCTAGCCTTATTTGTTCTTTCCTAATCAGACCTCATGTGTTTGGCCTGAGAGACTCCATAGCTATCTAGGGGAAAGCTAATTTGATTTCATCAAGCCTTATGCTCGCAGTCTGCTGGGCAAACAAAGACAAAGTATAGTTGGCTTGGAGGCCCAAGGCAGCAACAACCAGGGCGAAAAGGGCACGGTTTTTCACTCAAAGGCCGCATAATCATGTCATTTCCGCCGTCACCCACAGATACTCCGTATAATTTGGTGACGGTGAATTACTTGATGTGGTTATATGGTTCAATATGGTCCAGAAAATCGTGATCCAGCGCGTGTAGATTTTTCGCATGTGCCATATCCCTGCGCATGCATCATAAGAATGACTTAAAAACTGTGACATTGCATGTGCGAATTAGTTGCTTACGCGTCAAGATTGCCTGTTGTATGTTATTCCTGTTTGTATTTTTTTATGTTTCGGCTAGTCGGGGGATTTTGGGGTGTTTACTGATTGACCTCTCGCTGGACTTAATTGGTGAATATGAGATACTGTGCCGAAACTCGAACTGGATGGTACTGTATGAAATATAACAAAAACATGAAAGACTGGCTGTAATGGAAGGAAAGCTGAACGAGCATCAAAATAAATACCTAGTATTCCACGGGTTCGTTGATGCGGATTTCAAAGGGCACCTCGTTCCCCAACATGGAGACAAGCTTGTCCACCTCCACCGGCCAGTAGAAGTCGACGACATACTCGGGGACCCTGATTGGGACCATCGACTTCATGAGATGGACCAGCCCACCCATTTCCGGTTCAGGATGACTACTTCGCTTTTTCCCCAGCGAGACCCTAAGACGCTGCAGCGACTTGAACTTGGGGATGGTCTGCCATGCCTCTTCCCAGTAGAATGGTACGTCGAGTGGATAGAACCCTTTGCTAGATTTCAATTTCCCGTCGTACCAGTACAGATCCAGCGGCAAGGTCAGATGAAGAAATCGAATGCTGTGGAGGCGGTGCGGTAGTATGGTGCCCTCAAACTCAGACACCGTCCGCGTTTGGCAGAAGCTGACGACATTTTCGGAGTAGAGGAGATCGATCGACTCCGCATATCTGGCCCCCTTTGTTAGTTTTTTTTTTCCCCGGGTGGGAGATCTGGCAAGGGAGCTACGTACACGCGTCGACATGACTGTAACAACCCCATCCGAACGGCGTATGGAGAATCTTCCTCGGTTTCATATCCCCCACCCCTCCACCTTGGACCTGTCGTCCCGTCTTTCTTCTGGTACTCACTCCAGCACGGGTGCGACCAGCCAGGTAGTGGCGACCCTTGGTCCCGGCAGCGTCGACTCAACAATCGCGCATCGGCACAGGCTACATGCAGACCCGGGTGGTCTTTTGGGGCCAGAACCTCTCGGTAGATCAACGTCCGGACCTCCCGTGGTAGTTTCGCAAATAACGGAGATTGTTGCTGGTCGCGATCCCTTTCTTGTTCACGAGTCCGCCGGTCCTTACGAAACGGAACGATGCCTGCACGTCGAGCGGGCAGTGGTGGTAGGGGCGGCGTCAAGGCGCGCTTGCGGACTGCTGGTAAAGGCTTGGCCCGGTCACTCTTAAGTCTGAGCTTCTTGTGGCGTTTCCATCGGCGTCGACCTCCAATGGTTGGAAATCCAATGGGAACTGCATATGATGTCATGGCTGTCTTGACGAGGTGGTCTGTTGGGGAGGAGAGAGCGGACAGAAAAGGGAATAATAGTCCCTTATATATCGGTGCGAGGCAGACTTGGTCTTGGCACTGGACCTGATAGTTCGTGTGTGGACAAAGGTACCCCTCCCGTTCTTGTGGTGCTCTGTTAAATTCTATACTAGTATACTAATTGACCATTGAGTCGGCCAGCGGATAGGAGATCTCGTGATGATTGGAAACCCTCCTTGTTACTCGGTACATCGTTCGCATTTCATGGATTGTATTAATCTCGTCCGAGAATTCCACCAGCATGCAGTCTATCCATGAAGAATCAAAGAGCGTCATGACGGTCACTCCTCTGCTATGTCTCCGATTTTTTGAGAACTTTTCCATCTTCCGTGACTTTCGATCCCTCTTTAATAAACCTGATGGCTGTCGATTGGTCAGCACAATCCGTGGGATTAGGTGAAAGGGGATCTATAATCCATACCAGATCCAGCCAGCGCAATACTGTCCGCATTGTTCTGTGCCTGCCTCGTAATCTGAGTCGGCCCTTCCTTGGCCAATTTCCGGCATCGTTTCCATGCATACCGCACCGTGAGGAGGTTGGAATCGTCCACATCCTTTGACTCGCCCCCATTACGGGTGTGCGTCAACTCGTGCAGAATCACTTTGTCCAGATTCGACAGCACATCGATGGGGCTCAGCAGAGTGTCCATCTTCACCAGTCCTGTGGACAGTTTGTCGTAGACTCGAGACTTTTTTGGGAGTTTACGAATGCCTGCAATCTCATCCTTTCTCATCCAATCGATGAACCACGGGCAGAGCTGCACCTGGGACGGTTTGGTGCGGCCGGACACCAAAGTATAGGCGACTGTGGGGCCGGCGCTCTCGCACGACTTGAATGATTCCCCTTTCTCTAATACTTCACCGATGTCTATAGTGTGGGTGTTAGCCTGGAAAGCCCTGCAGGTGTCGGCTTCCTGTCCAAAAACATGCCTTTGTCATACCACTTATTGTCCGACCTAGATTCGAAGCGACTGAAATCACAGTACACTATAATCTGTTTGTTGATTAACCATGGCAGAAACACCTAACAGAATACATCTAGAAGAAGTCTTACCGTCTGGGGATCGGGCTCCTCATCCTTTACATCCTCATTTGCAGCGACGAGTGTTCCGAGATTCCCTAGGACAGTCAGATTCACCTGACACCAACCAATCTCAGTGACCAGAACAAGGGGTAATACTCTGTAAAAGACCTAATCGTTCCTGATTCGGCTCTTCTCCATCCTTCATGAACATCCATTTGAGCACATCTCGGATATTATCGCCGTTATCGCCCAAGTCCTCGTTGTTCAAAACCTTGTTGATTGCGTCTAGCTCATCCTTTGCCATGTTAAAGGCGCTGAGTAGGGCCTCGGAGATCGTGGTTCCAAGATCTGCGATCAAAGTTTAGCGCACCTCGAGGTAACTATCAGAGAGCAATATCCAGCTCACCGTCCGTTTTACATGACTTGTCGAGTTTCCAGCCTGTTTTCGCGCTGGCCAGGCCGGCCAGACCCAAGACGCAAGAGAGGCCTTTGAAAAATCTCATTTTGATTATACTAGAACAGGTCGCTTCTCAGGCCTTGAGATATAGCAATGTTGACGGGTAGATGTCGTGAGAAAGGCTGCTGGTTAGGTTCTCTTTCGTACGGTGTGAATTGGGCCATTTTATATCTACTCTTGTCCCTTCCTGCATCCAACCCCCAAATACAAAAGCACCAATCCCCTCAAGCGGGCTATCCTCCTACGCGGTATTTGGCAGCGTCCCGAGGGGCAGTGCATCAGCACTCCATCATGATGTCCAGCGTCGTATCCATTCTACCTGGTGTTGATTCATCCCGCCCGAATGTCTTGGATAGTCGACTGGGGATGTCAAATGTAACTAGAAATTCAGCCTTGACGCACGGTCAACTAGCGTGACATGCATACCTGCCAATGATATACGGAGAAATCTTCCGTCGTGCTAATGCAATAGCAGCTATTACCTGCGCGCACTGCCCGACGACGACGTGGCAAGTAAATGTCAGCTGTGGCGGCTGACGTTGGATAGCAGCCTGGCCCAACGGCAAAGACTTGGGACCTGGTACACTGCATATTCGATAACTGAGCGGAGGACGTGCACTGATAAGACAGGATGCAAGACACACAAGGCTAAAGCTGGAAGCGATGGGGACGCCGATCGTTGAGTGGTTCGTTGCTTGGGGCCAAAACAGAACGACTAGGGTCTGAGTGGGTCCCAGGATCTACAGAGCCAATATCCTTCGAGTGGGGCGCAAGCGATCTCACGTAGTATCTTTGCCTCGACTACTGCTGTTGTAGATGAGGGAAAAGAATAGTGACAAGGTTTAGTGACTAGTAAGAAAGGAAAAATAACTCATTGGTACAGGGCAGACTTCGGGGCTATGCTCGACACACCTTTGGAGCTGGTCGAGAATCCCATCCAAGTCTGACTGACCTAGCTGGATGGCGAGAGGGTAGGAGATGGTGTCGGGCCAAGTATAAAATATACTGTCCTCTCTGGCCAGTGGTGTCCGAATCATAACAAGACACTCTCATCTCTTCTCACCCCGCCATCGCTATGAAGTCTCTCCTGATATTGTCTTTGCTATTCTCGGCGGCCACCGCCTGGCCATATCAAGTGCCACCACAACAGACTGACGCCCCGACTCGTGTCCAAGAGCGAGACGGGGCTATGATTGCGGCCATAGTGCCCACAACTTCGGGGCAGATTGGAGTCAACCCGGTCCTCGTGAATCCAGTGTTCGTTATATCTCAGATCAGATCAGACCCTTCCCTTCATGCCCTTTCATTGATTTCAAGAATAATGTTATGGCTCGTGGTGCTGACACCCCCCTAGCGAGACTGCAGGACCATACGACCCCTTCTTTTCCAACTATGTCGATGACAAGGGCAATGCAAGTATACACCGTCCCCTTGGGTAATACAGAATATTATACTCATGACTTCCAGTGGAAAGCACAAGATAAGGAACAAATCACTCAGGTCCAAGTCACAACAAAAGATGGCAAGCCCACTACAAAAACGGTGACCGCACCAGTAGCTGTCATGACAGGTCCAGATGGGGACCTCAACGTTCTCATGGCACCTAAGCTCCAGGAGAAGTTGGCTGACATGATGCAAAATGTCCCCGCCTGTGGCAAAAAGCGGGCCGAAGCCTGCGGGATTGAGAGGTTCTTGATGGAGTTTGATGCCGATGATACCAAGCTCATCCAGTCTCTGAAGGATGCGGTCGAAGGGATCAAATTTCTCAGTGAAGATGTGCTCAAGGCGCTGATTACTTCAGCTGGTAAGAAGGAGATTCTGCTCCTTGCAGATGGAGTCGGTGCTATAGGATGCGTCTGGATGGGGGCGCATCTTTTCCTCCAGAATCAGCATCTTCCGCTTGCGTTTGCGATTAAAGACCCGCCCAAAAATGATATTCCCAAGACAGAGCCGCCCGAGGAGGAAGACTCTGACAAGTGTCCGAAGGATGCACCCAAAGGGAAGGACGCTCCTTTGTGTCCGGACTGCAGTGGCAAAGATAATACTTGTCAGGATGTATGTCTTCTCAGCTCACATTTGTCTACTGGTATATTAACAGAAAATACAGGGAAAATACAAAAACTGCGACTGCCTCGATGTAGTGAGCCCAGTCTACTACACCTATGACAAGAAATGGTTGACAGTACAAGCCGATGCAATCAAATATGCTATGGAACATGCTGACGACGAAGAAACGCCTAAAGTACTCTGCTCTGACCCTGGATATGATAAGGCTGTCGCTGTGGATACCTCCTTCATCAAGAGTCTCGCGGATAAATTCTGCGATGGTGATGCAAAGAAGGATCGTCATATGACTCTCTCTGGGAAAGAAATCTCAGCCAAGGCCTACCAAAAGTACACATTTGATTTGACATATGCCCCTCCAGAGAAGAGTGACGAAGAGTGCTTCACTGATTGTGCGGGTGCGATCAATGCCATGGCCGCTACATGTATATCCCCCACCCCCTCTACGCAGGATATTCGGGGATAACGGTTGCGCTAATTACATGAATGAACAGGCCAAGGCATCAACAGCCACACCGTGCAGAGAGGGGGAAATGCTACCCTTGAATGTGGCGCGCAGTACAGCTACGAGATCAATCTACCGGACAAGCCCGAAGACGCGGATATCACCTGCGCCAATGACGGAGTATATATCCCACCCAGCTGCAATATCTATCAGGGGCCTCCCTTGCTAATTTACGTTACAGGACTACAGCAAGGCAATCGCCCTTGATGTCAAATTCTTCACGCGCCTGGCCGAGAACTTCTGCGACAACGACATGTCTCAGAACCCCAGCAAGGACCTGACCAGCGATGATATCAAGTCTGACAAATACAAGGGCTACAAGTTCCACTTTGAAGGCTCGAACAGCCCAGGCTGCAAGCCCGACTGTAAATCTACAATTGAGCGTATTGCTTCGAAATGTACGACCTGCTCTATCATTTCTCTCTCTCTCTCTCTCTCTCTCTCTCCAAGTACTAAGTGACTACCATAGGCCAAGGGTTGAACAGCCACACTATTCAGCCATCCGGCAGCGCAGACTTTGACTGCGGCAGTAGCTACAGTTACAAGATCCAGCCGCCAGGTGAGAGTCCTTCAAAGACACCACCGCATGATAAGCTCAGTGAACTCCATTGTCACGGGGCGGACGACTTCGGCGACCACGCGGACATCAACCCCGGCTTTCAAAACCAGTACATTGGATGGGCGTGCGTGGGTTCCGCTCGGGAAGAGAGTATAATGGACGAGAATAGCGACCCAGTCGTGTTCCAGACCAAGACGAACGACGCCCCGTACTATTATTCTATCTCCTGGATCAAGGGCTGTCGCGGTACAAAGCAGAGCCCTTATACACCTTTAGGAGATTACAAATTCCCCGGTAGCGACGACAAAGTTACTTGTACGGATTTGATGCGGAGGAACTGGAAGGAGTGTATTAATGGGGGGGTTGGTGGGTGGAGGGATGCTGGGTGCTTGCGCTATGAGTTCAAGGCGGAGTACACCAAGTGATTTATGGGCACGAGGGCTTTTTCAGATTATGCCGTCTGTTTAAATATAACATCTGCCTCGTGTTGTAATGAATGAATATGAATTTATACAACAATCGGATGAGAGTAATGCAAAAGTACAGTGCTCGAGTGGAAAATCAAGGGCACGAGGAAGTGACTTGGCTACTTCTGGCACACCGTAATGGACGATAGACCACGGCCCAGAGCCTCGTCGAACCTGTTTGACCATACTTTCACCTTGACTTTTTTGTCTCCCACCGTGCATATCCTCTTGGTCTTGAGCGTGTATTCCGTAGATTCCCTTCTACAGGAACCACCATCAACGAGGTTGATGGAGTCCTACTATGCTGGCACCTCCTTTCTGTGGTGCATCACTTTTTGAACTATTAGGGGTGGTTGGTTTCATGAGGTGCCTGGGTCAAATGACGGTAATACCTACATACTGTCCACTTCCAATATGCCTCCCAGGATAATGACTCTCCTTCGAGACGGTCCAGTGGAAACGCAGTACAGTGCACCAGACCAACGGCCGAGAGAAAGAGTGGATGGACTCGTCCCAAGAAAGGATCGTTCCCGATTTTTATCAGTAAACTGCAGATGAGATGATAGACTCATGCGGAGACCTGATCAACGAGGAGCCTGCAATCTCGAGAATAATCAAGGTCTGTATAATATTGTGGCTGGGGCCTCTTGGCATTCGACATGTCATCGGGCTGCAAGGCTGGGTCAGCAATACCCCGCGATTGGGAATGGTCCACAGTGGTCCCAGAACTTCCTGTCTACATTGCAGACCTTCCTCAGTCAAAAGAAGAAGCGCACATTTTGCACCTGCGCTGAATCGACACATTCCATCGACCGCAGGATCTGGAAAGAGGTGACGGTAGAAATGGCCGACACGACGCGTTCATATGTTGACTATGCCTTGGCGATTATCTGCGCACTACCCCTCGAGCTGGCGGCCGTCAAAGTGATGCTCGATGAAGTGCATGCCGAGCCTCAGTTGGAGTCCTCCCACCAGTGTAGCTACATCCTGGGGAAAATCGGAGACCATAAACTAGTGGTAACGTGCCTGCCATCGGGAGTCTATGGCACCACATCCGCAGCAGCGGCGACCGCGTATTTGCGATCCACCTTCCCCAATATTCGATGCGGGCTAATGGTAGGGATTGGAGGGGGCGTGCCGAGCGAAACCGCAGATATTCGCCTCGGTGATGTCGTCGTGAGCAAGCCCACGGGGACCTATGGCGGCGTGGTCCAGTATGACATGGGCAAGACCACTAGTGGTGGACACTGGGAATGTACCGGGACATTGAACCAGCCACCCCCCAGCCTGCTCATGGCCATCGCCCAGCTCGAGGCGGATGACAAGATACGCCGGAGTGACATGATCTTACAGTCCATTGTATGTGTGCTCAGCCAAAACCCAGACATGCAGGCCGAATTTTCACGACCTACGGAAGAGGATCGCTTTTTCCTATCGAAAGATCCGTCAGGTATGCCCGGTGAAACGGACCAACCGGCCCTGCGTGCTTTACGAGACTCGAGCGAGCCGCATATCTATTACGGAATCATTGCATCTGGAAACCAAGTGATGAAGGACGGTCAAACTCGGGATCAGATTGCGCGAAGGTTGAACGCGTTATGTTATGAAATGGAGGCCGCAGGGATTATGAATCACCTCCCCTGCCTGGTGATCCGGGGCATCTGTGACTATTGCGACTCCCACAAAAACAAACAATGGCAGGGGTATGCCGCCCTGGCGGCTGCGGCTTATGCTAAGCGGCTTCTCTCTGTACTTCCAGCAGCCCAGTTCTCGCCTAGTCAGACGGCACGGCAGAGGTCCTTCATGGTGCCCTTCGACCAAAATCCACATTTCCGAGGACGAACCGGCGAACTCGAGAGGCTGGAGACGCTGGTATTAAGCCAGAATCAGATCCGAAAGGCTGCCATTTCAGGGCTCGGGGGAGTTGGAAAGACGCAGGTCGTGATCAACCTGGCATACAGGATTTGTGATCAAGCGCCACAGCAATCCATCTTTTGGATCCAAGCAACAAGTGTCGATGCCGTGGAAAAATCATTTGCAGACATCGGTCGCACAGTCGGGCTGCCGAACACAACCCCAGACAATATCAAGGCAGATGTGAAGGCCTACCTAAGCTCGGAGCGGGCGGGCTCATGGCTCCTGATCGTCGACAATGCCGATGATGCAGATATGTGGATGTCCCCGCCGACCGCACTTAAAGATTTTCTTCCTCGGAGCGAGACTGGGTTTACCATCTTTACCACACGGAATCAGCAACTGGCCACCCGTCTAGTAGGACCGGAGGTCATCAAAGTCTCAGAATTAGATGGCCAGTTAGCAACGGAGCTCTTTCGAGCGTCTTTGATGAATAAAGATCTGATGACGGATGATACGTCGGCTATGATGCTTTTGCATCAGCTTGGGGGTCTACCTCTCGTCCTCATCCAAGCGGCAAGCTACATCAACCAGAACTGCATTGGTTTGAAAGATTATTCATTGCTCCTGAATGAGCAAGAACATGTCAAAGTGGAATTGCTCAGTCAGGACTTCGAGGACGACTATCGATATGAGGAAACGCAGAATCCGGTGGCAACAACATGGCTGATCTCGTTTGAGCAGATCCGCCGGTCAAACCTATTGGCCGAGGAATATCTATCGCATATTGCATGTATTAACCATCGAGACATCCCACTGTCCCTTCTCCCGCAAAAGGGTTCCCCAGTGGAGCGGCAGAAAGCACTGGGGCTCTTGAAAGCATATTCTTTTATTACTCAGATGGTCGACAGCGCGTCCCTCAATATGCACCGACTCGTTCATTTGGCGATGCGAACTTGGCTTCGGAATGAAAACCTTCTCGAGGGCAGGACAGTCCAGACTTGTGACTTTTTCAACGAGATCTTCCCCTCTGATGATCACCAGAACCGGGCATTGTGGCGGGAATACTTACCACACGCACAGTTCCTCCTCCAAACCCAGGAATGTGTCAAAGGAGGTCTGGAACGGGAGGACTTATGCCAAATGGTTGCTTTGTGTCTCTCTGCCGACGGAAGATATAATGATGCAGAGCCCCTTTTCCAAGAGGTGCACGAAAAAAGAGCTGCCCGGCTAGATAAAACAGATTTGAAAATGCTCAAAAGCATGGTCAACCTCGTTAACATATACTGGAGCCAGAAGCGATGGAATGAAGCTGAAGAGCTGAATATCCAAGTTTTGAATAATCGCAAGATAACACGAGGCCTAGAACACCCTGAGACACTCGACAACATGAGTAATCTTGCAAGCATATACTGGAGCCAGGGGCGATGGAAGGAAGCTGAAGAGCTGAATATACAAGTCTTGGATACTCGCAAGA